TGCTGTAAATGATGGTGAAGCTCTTCAGAGTGGGTTTCCTTGGGGTTCTTCTGTTGCAATAGGTTCTGAGATACAAAGTAATACCCTGCTATTTAACATAAGTTTTATTTAAAGTGTACAAAACCAGGAAAAAATATTATATATATATATATATATGTATGCAGCTTCTGATGGCTGCTTAACCTGTTTAGCGATGCCCACGCATTAACAGTGGCTACACAGGGCAAGGCAATCTCCTGCCCTTGTCCCATGCTTGCAGAAAAGCTGCCATGAAAGGTTCAAACATAGGGGGAAAAAAAGATTTCTCTTCCTTATGATCCCCAGAGGAGAGACAAAGTATGTGTGCTAGTTTGATATACAGATCCTCCAGAGAGAAGGCACCTGGAAAACCAGATGTGTCATTCAGGTGATCTTGTTTAGCTCAAGATACCCAAGTCAGCTCTGGATATTGGCAAACCGAGTGCTTACACCATAATCAGACCAAGCCAACCCCCCCTTGAATGTATTTCTCACGCTTTTGTTAAAGGTCACCAAAGGGAAGGAACTGGCCTTTTTCTTTTTTTCCCAATGCGTTAATAAAAAACAAAGTTTTTTTGATGAGAGATGCTGTGTTATGTCCCTACTTGTGCTCCCTGCCCCAGGGGCAGGAGGCAGACTCCTTCCTCTGGGAGGACAACACTTCTCCAAGGCAGCCTCAGTGGGCATCGTGGGTTTTCCCTCTCGCCACAGGGACAACCTGCAGACACAACCTGCTCTTCTAGGGCACCCACTGGTCCATCCCTGGCCCACACAGCCCCATGCACACCCCGAGCCTGAGGTGGCAGTTGGGGGGCAGGGCCCTAGCCTCCTTCTGGCCATTCCAGGACTGAGGGATGCAGCCACACTGGGGCTCTTGCGCAAAGCCCAAACTCATCTGTCCTGGTACAGAACAGTGCGTGGGCTAAAACATAACCAGCACCATTGCCCAGTGACCTTACCTTGTTCAAAAGGGTTAAAAAATCCTCTGCTTAGTGGATTATTGAATCAATTAATGGAGCCTCTGATTAAGCCTCTTCTGGTGAGTGGTCACCTGCCTCTGCTCCTTTGGAAGGAGAATCAGCTTAACACGGGGAAGATCAGAATACACTGGCACTGAAATGGCCACATGCTTCATTTATGGCTTTTGTCCCTGGCTGGAGAGCATCTCTATTGCCTCAGTGTCCCCAGCCCATCGCCAGTGGTTAGGTTGCTGGTGCAAAGCAACTTCAGGAAACCTCACCTATCTGTAGGAAACAGATAAGAGGAATCTCCCTGTGCCATGTCCTACACAGGCTCTGTTGTTCCCCTGCAATCCAGCTGCCAAACTGACTCACCCTCAGACCCAGCTGGAGCTCAGAGTCTGTTCTGCAGAGCCTGGCTTCGATATCTCTTTTCATCTTCATCTTTGCAATGTGCCTTCTCCCTTCCACTGAGGGGAACTCTGCATTTTTGAGTTAGGCTCCAGAAATCCCAATGCAGAGCTCTGTTATTTTGCCCAGAGTCACACAACTGAATGTCTAAACCGCACAGATTTAACCCACCTGTGTGACTTCTATCAAAGATACATGCAAAGCAAAAGGTTGGATCTGCCCATTTTCCAGGCATTTGAGAAAAAGGGCCCCAAATCCAAGCCAACTCAACACACAGGCCACCCCAGCAGTTCCAAAGTCTGCACTAAAGATTTGCACCTTATCAAATCCAGCTCTGGATCCGGAATTTTGCAGCCTTTTGTGTTTCTACTTCTGTCACAAGCACAAAACACTGAGTGTCACTAAGAACATCTCTAAGCTTTAGCAAAAATTTTGAAACTCAAGGTCAGGAGTTGTATTGCATCAGACTACTGCATGCCACCAGCTTTGGTTTGCCACATTTCTTCATGTGAAAGAACAGTTCCTGTGCTGGCTTCCCCCAGTAGCTGTTTCATTACTTCTTTAAATATTACAGCAAAAAAATAAGTGATAAACTCCAGACATAACCCATCCTAGGAAGAGAGGCTTCCCATATGAGGTCAAATTCTGCTCACTTGCACTGGTGACTATTTTGTTCGTAAGGAATGACCGTTTTATTTCACTGCCCAGATAAGCCCATTAAAAGTGGCTGCTGGTAAGAGAATGTTCTTGCTGGGTGCTGCCTCTGTGCCGTGTTCAAGCAGGTTTTCCAGCCACAGCACAGCCCGAAGCGGGTGATGTTCCAAGGGGTGACGGGGCAGCCGGCACATGCAGCAGGCTGTTTCTGAGGGAGCTCAACGCTTAATGGGATGAGCCAGCTCTTGGATCCGAGCAGAACAAGTTGCCTTCTTAGCACTCTCCTTCACTGTGAACGCGTCTGGGTTGAACTGAGCCAAGCTCATAGGAGGCCTGGGGAAAGCGAGGACAGAGTTGGTCAATTCCAACTGGAGCAGGGCCAGCTCCCAAAGCCACCAGCCAGCTGACACACCTCCACATGAGCCCTGCCCTCCCCTGTCAAGGGAGGACAAAAGCAGCCATGCCTCCACTGCTGTCACCTGGACACCAGTGAGAGGGAGTGCCCCAACTCCCTCTGAAGCTGTCACAGCCACTACAGCCAGGCGTTCCCTCACCCTCTGTCAAACACCCTACTCGGCATTTCCTGCAGCCCAGGCTGAGGCAGCTGCATCACGCTGGGCAACATTAATGTGCTACCCTGTGCCATGTGTCAGCTGGTTGCTTTTTAGTTAATAATTAAGAAGTCCCAACCAATAATTCCTACAGGAATTAGAAAGTTCCTATTTCTTCTCTTTTGGTTCCCCTTCCACCACAAAAATGCTTTTTAAACCACAATCCATGTAGCATTAGCATATCCAGACATATAAAACCCATGCATTTTGGAAGCAGAAGAGCAGTGGCTTAGTTGCACTGGCCAAACCCGGATCAACAGGGTGCCATGGCCTGCACAGAATGGGCTCACAGCTGATCAGGGAAGCAGCACCTACCTTTTGCAAGGCTGGGCCAGTTCCAAGAGCCTTGGTGTGGCCACCGCGTGCTTTGCAGCCTTCGTCACTGGCCACTCAGCATCCCGCAGGGGCACATAGTCAGGGTGCAATCTTTTTGCCCAAGCCAGCTCCAGGGTTCGAGGGCTTGCAATTGCCTCCTGAGCTGACTTGGAAACCTGTGGAAGAATGGGCAGGAAGGTCCCTACAGGTGCTGCTGGCATTCAAGGGTGACCAGCCTGCAACTCAGCGTACCCAGGTTCACAGCCACTGACCATGCACAGATGAGACATGATCCTGTCCACAGTTGTGTCTGACACCAGACAAGCTGTGGAAGGAGAAACCACCACCTAGCCAGTCCTTCAGCCTGCCCTCCAGCCTCCTCTTACCCATAGCCCTTTGTCCAACCCATCCTCCAGCACTGGAGATCCCAATTAGACACGTCCATCTCTCCACATCCTCACAACTGAAGGCTAGGCACAGGTCTGCCCTTCTCTGGGAACATCTGCTGGGAGACAGCTCACGCTCTGGATGGAGCACGAGTCCTGCTTCTCCAGTCCAGGACGCAGCAACCTCAGCCTCACAGACAGCAACATATCCAGGGCTGCCATGAAGAGAGCCAGCAGTGACTGGGCACCCAGTGACCTCCCCTCTGCCCGGCCTCCCTGCCGTGCACGGTGCCAGGTGATGCTGCCTTACCGGACGGATGGCAGATTCGGGTGAGCCGTACTCATAGCAGCAGGTCACCTTCCTGATGCGGGGCTCTGCGAGACGCTGTAACCGTGAGGATGCTCTGGTCGCCACGTTTGTAACCTGTGTTGGCACCTGCATAGGTTCAGAATGGGGGAGGGATGAAGACAGAGCTTGTCCACAGCAGCCCACAGGCACAGACTCCCTCTCCAAAGGGATGAGTGCCCAGCACCCTTCCACTACAGACGTGGACACAAGAAGGAGCTCTCTTACTTTCCCAGCACCCATTATTTTTCTTTCACCCGAACTACAAGGTAATTTTGGCGCTATTGGGATTTGTATGTTTTAGCCAATATTACCTTTTGCCCCCCAACTGTTGCCCACTCACAGCCAGGGAGGAATGCCTGTAATAAGAGCCCGTACAGCCAGGTAAAAGTGCAGAGAAATTTCTTCCAGAGTAAAGAAACGATCTTCATATTCATCTTCCTGACTGAATCGAATCATTTCCTTGCTAAGGAGAGACGCTCAGATTTCAGGGTAAATGTGCTGGTGCAGTTAACTGCATTCCTACAGCAAAAGTGATCACTGCTCCAGCGCTGGACTTTTTCCTCTGTTTTTCACAGGGTTACTGATGCCAAGGCCTGCTCCAACGCAGCCTCATTTCCCAGCCCAGTGACTGCAGCCAGAAAACTTAGCCTTTGCCACAGAAATGACTGCAATCTGAGATTGCCCCAAACCCTTTCACCCCTGCCAAAGCAATGACCCGCCCAAAGGGAGCGAGTTCAGAAATACATCTCTGAATTAGACTCCTGGTAAAATGCTGTTAAACTATACATAGTGTTTGCAGGCTCATCCCCTCTATATACACAGACAGCAGCAGAGCTGCCCAACTGCAAACACGACTGTACTCCCTAGGAGCTAACCAGGCCATTCCCACCAGGTTTCTCCACTTTCCCAGGCTGCTCAATCAGGGGATGCAGCCCAGCTTCCTCCCTTGGCTCTCCTGCTATTCTGGGCTGCTCCAGCCTGGCTGTTTTCTGTCTCAGCAGGGACATTTTGAAAGACAGTGCCTTCACACTGAAAAGGCAGTTTCTCTCAGTATCTCAAACCCCAGCAGAATCAGACAGCTTCTCGCCTCCATAGCACACACTGGGCACATGCAGGGGCAGCATACAGGGTGTAAAAGCTCAGGACAGTTTGCTGCACCGCTGTCCCCTCCAAACCTCACTCAGCCACCTCCTCACCTCTCTGGGCAGCATGAACTCTGGGTGCAGCACCTTTGGCCGGGCAAGCTCCAGGGTCCGTGGGGAGGCCTTACACCTCAGTGCAGCTGGCGACACAGGCCACTCAGGGGACTCACGAGGTCTGGAAGCAGAGAGTCATGGCACCAGCACTCACAGATATTCCTGCATACTGGCTAAACTAGGCTACAGCTGGGACATTTAAGCCTCATGTTTGCTGCAGTAGAAGACAGCTTTGTCTTGTGGCCATTTCCAGTGTAGAACCCACTCATGCCATGAGCCCAGAAGTTCTAATCCCAGCAGAGTCCATGCTCTGCATTTTGCCCTATGTTGTACCCATCCTCTACACCTGTATTTATTAATTTGAAGCTGCACTGATGCTACAAGACCTGAAGACCCCACAGGTTTTCTGACCTCTCACCTTTGCTGCAGGTAAGCAGTCTGGTATTTTTTAGGTTCAGCCAACTTCAGCAGCCGATCAGAAGGGAAGCAAAAATCCACTGGCAGGGAGCGCTCCCGGACCATTGACTCCTGTCTGCAGCCGTACAAGAAGAGGGATCTTAAGGAACAGCACAGAAGCACTAGTAAAAGACAACTGACAGAGAATGTGATCCTGGCAGATGGTATCCTAAGTCTGGTTAAATATCCATGTCTGCTGCACGTGCAAAAGTTGGCAACAGGGCACATGGAAAAGCCATGAACAAATGGGCACTTACACTTGAGATTTTCTGACTTTAAAGGTAACTGCTGTTTGCATAGGCAGAGTCCTCTTTCAACCGCCCTCGGTGCATTGCTTTCAAAGTCTAGGCCTTTTCCTGGACCATTTCAAGAAAACTCTCCACAGTACAAACCTGACAGCATCTCCACTGTTCAGCTCTGTCAATTTAGAAACCTCTTTGTTGCAATGGCTTAATAGCACCTTGTGCTCTTGCAGCTCCCTTCATCTTGGGATCTCCCCAGGCTTTCCTGGTGTATGCTCCTCCAGGTTTCCATCAGCCATAGCTGTTGGGAGATGCCTGTCACCAAGAGGTGAGCAGAAAGGCAGGAAGGGCTGTCAGACAGACACCGTTAGTCAGAGGCAGAAGCTCTCAGGCAGATGAGAGCCTCTGAACTGACGACAGTGGCAAAGGAGAGAAAACTACAGATGTGCATATCCTGACATCCCTCCAGGTAGAGAAGGGAGCACAACAGTTTCAGGGAGCGCAACACAGCCAGGAGTGCAATACAATTTCATCTCCATTCTCATTGCTAGGACTTCTTATAGACTAGCAACCACCATCCTGTCTCCGAAAGATCTTCATCCACTCCAACAGAGCTATGGATGAGTTGCTTCAAGAAATGGAACATCACCCAGCCCCACTGAAATTTACATTTTTTAAGATCATTTGTCACTCCTATTCCCAAACATGGACTGGTTGACATGAAGTGACAGCAGAGGTTTAACTCAAGGCAAGAGACCTGGATTCCCTCCGGCCAGCAGGATGCTGCAAGGTTTCTCTGTTTGTAGCACTTCCTAACTTTTATCCTCAAGATTTAGGCCAGGCTCCAAGACAATAGAGCGGATCACTAATTGTATCCAGGTGCCTGGCTGGGCTGCATCAGCCCCGATATGGACAGGGAACACTCTAGGGACAGGCAGTCCCTCTGTATGCACAGGTGTGACACATACACGTTTCCATCAAGGCATGTATGCATGCAGGCATGTGGTGTCTCTGCTTCCAAGCTGAAGCAGAGCTGCTGTTGGGTTTTTTTGGTTACAGCAGAGGAACATGTTCCCATGTGTTTGGAGACTGAGATCAAGGCTGGCTCCTACAGCAGCTGATTCCAGCCCAGAGCTCTAATCAGACCAGCAGCCACCACATGTTGCAGAAGCCCTTTCCAAAGCCAGGAAGTGGGTATGAGGAAAAAAAAGGGCACTAAAACTTAGCACCCCCCAGTTCCTCCTCATTTTGGAAGTCAAGCACTCAGGGTGACTATGCTCCCATAGCACTTTCTTCCCTGCTACAGACAGCCCCTGTTCCAAGGGGCTACAGCCATCAGTACAGCCCGTTGGGTCTCAGTGGCATGGAGCTCCCTGTGGGACAACGGTGGCAGGAGAGGAGATGGCATCTCCCCTTCTCCTGGGAGCCAGCACATCCCCCAGATTAGAGACCACCATCTAAGCTGCATCCTTCCCCAGGATGTGCTACCACATCACTGACCTACACTGGTGCTTGCTAAAATCTTGCTTGGGCTTGGCCAGTGACACTGTTCTTGGGGATGGTCGAGCTGTCAGAGCACCTTCTGAGAGGGTCCAGATCGTCTCTTGGTTTCCCCACACGAGCCTAGCAAGAACAGCAAGGGTGTGAAACTTCAGAGACTTGCACAAGTGTGAAATGTACTTGCTGGAGCTCTCCTTCCCTGCCTAGGATGGGACACACAGAGTCCCTATGGCTCCCCACAGCTGTACCATGCTGCTGCCATCCCCTGAGCACTCAACTTCTCTGGCACTGAATTTCTTAACACTGTTCAGGTGATTGTCATCAACTCAAAAACTGAAGAGCCTTCAAGTGATGAGTCTAATAGTTTTACAGTTACCAGTGGATGTGCAGAAAGGGTTGTTTCACTACATCCCTGAAACCCCTGGGGGAGTTTCATTATTGCAGTTTCTTTGCCTCACCATTACCATCGAACTATACCACAGGTACAGCAGTAAAAATAATAATAATATTGTGGTCAGGGTGTGCCACAGAAAGCGGGTGAGGTTTTGCAGCACGTTAGTGACTACTTTCCTGTGCCCAGGGCAAATCTGGAGATGCTCATCCCACATTGAGAGAGAGAGGCCATGGTAGGAGAGGGTACCAAGGTAGTCAGGACAGGGAATAGCAGGGTGATGGCTTTGTGGAGCCTTTTTTTGAGCACAGTGACACCCATCCAGACAGTGGAGAAGAGACATTATCAAGAGAATGTTGCCCTGGCTTGCCAAGCCAGAGCTTGACCCCACAATGCAGACAGCAACTCTGTTCCTAAAGCTGAACTGTGTTCTCCGGGGTAGAGCAGCCTGTGGTTCCACTGAGGTCCAGTCTCCTCACACCACAGCACCGTCCTACCCTGCGACATCTCAGTGGGGCAGCTCAGATGGTGCAGCAACAGCAAGACTGGGGTCAGGCCCAGCTTTTGGTTTGAAAACAAGAAAGAGTGAATTGAAGAAAGCCCGTCATGCACTGAACATCTCAATCTGGTTTTTTTGAGCCAATTCTGCTGTTGAGAAGAAAGCAGTAGCAAGACAAAGGCAAAGGGTCTGCACCAGCTGAGGCCCCATCAGTGCCCAGCCCTCAAGCCAGGGCTGTCTGGGCACCTCCTTACCTGCGGTCGTTTGCACAAGCCACTTTCTTGGGTTCTGCAAGTTCTTGTATCCTGCCAAAATTACAGAAAAGGACAAATGTACCATTAAACATACAGTTAAACCAACAAAGCATAAAGAAGCTACTGCTGTACTCAAGGACATAACACAGTCTTCAACCCCCATGCCTCTGCAAGGCATCCCTTGTGAGAGTGCACTGAAGGGATCTCTCTCTCCAAGTAACTTTCCATCCATTTAATTTGGTGAACTCACCAGCCCATGGATTTTTGGGCTATCTCTTGGATTGCTGAGACACAAATTCACAGTGCTGCCCTCACTGCAGTGTCGCTTTGGGACATGGCAGAAAGAAGGGGAAGGTACTTTTCTGGTTAGTAACATGCCATGCAGCCCCAGAAGATAGGAGGAGATGGATGGTCTTCCCAGATGAACAGAAACACCTGTTATCAACACTCGTGTGGTTTACTAAAAGGCACCATGGAGACAGCACTGTTTCCACTTGGTTTTATTACCACAGGTGAAGACATATATTTTTTATTTCAGTCCTTTTAGCACAGATGTCTTAGATATTACAGAGACACAGGAATATATGTGGTCTGTGCCCTAGGAACAGCACTGAAAATGTTTTTACTGCATGATTCACGGTCTCATATTCATCAGACCAAAACCTTTCAGGAAGATCAGATATTGCTGTCCGCTCCTGCTGCTCCAGTGTCCCAGGCCTGAAATCCCAGTGGCTGGGAAGCACTTTTGCTTTGCGAGCCTGGGTATAAAGAGAAGGACAAGATGATGCCAGTGCCACAAGTGCGTTGCAGAACTCTGGTGTGACAGACCAAGCCCATACCCCACTACTGGGGCTGCAGGTGCCTGCCCTCGGCCAGCTGGGGAGCAACCACACAATGCAGGCAGCTGTGGAAATGCTCTATCATGGAAAAAGCACAGAAGATGAAAGCCTGGGGCATTGCTTCCCTGCTTAGTATCACCTAGCAATAAGGCAGCATAGCCCTAGAGAGTCATGGGGACACCAACAGAGAGAGATGTTTGCTGACAGAAAACAGTCTGTGCTTTGGGGACACACCTGTGGTTTCTCTGATGGGGCTGATACTGGTAGTGAGACATCGAGCCCCAGCAAACACTTGCCAGAGAGCTCAGCACCACAGAGGCCCCTGCAATGGGGAGGCCCCTGCTCCTGCTGTTGGAGCATCCTCACCACACGCTACCTGCCAGACACCTGCTGACTTATCTCCTTGTCACACCCAACTGCTGGTCACAACACCGCAAACACGGCTCCCACTGAGACCCCACAGAGGGAATTAACTCCCTGCAGGACTTTGGCCCCTTGCCACCAGTTCAAGATGGGACACGCTCAGGAAAGCAGCAGTCACTTCAGGAGCCAAAAAACAGTCTTGGCTGTTTGTTCCCAAGCGACTACCCAGACTTTTCCTTGCAAAGGTGCATGGGGGTGAAGGATTAGCACGTGAGGTCCCTCCTCAGCCCAGCTGCGTTGCAGAGCTGGCATCCCCTCTCTGCAGGTACCCAGACTTTTCCTTGCAAAGGTGCATGGGGCTGAAGGATTAGCACGTGACCCTCCTCAGCCCAGCTGCATTGCAGAGCTGGCATCCCCTCTCTGCAGGCAGACTCGTTGCTTTTCCTCCACTGCTGGCACAGATCCACCACTGGCTCGGACACTGCTGTGCAAAGCTTGCATCGTGACCCAGCCAAGGGACAAGTCACATATATGTCCAAATCAGGGCCCTCAACTCACTTGACAATCATTTGGGTTTTTTTTTCCAATTAGGAAAAAAGATTACTCTTTTATCATGGCAAAAGCTACAGACAGTTAGACAACCCCACACAGGACGCTTCTGCAGCAGCTCTGCAACTTAGAGTTAAGCCACCTCACGGACAAGGGGACAAGCCTTTGCCATTGGGTTTCACTCATGCTTCTCAGCAGGGAAAAAGAAGCCTTGCTCCGCTGCCTGAGCTCACACAGGCTCATTGCTTAAGGAGGATCAACTCCCTTTGAGATCAATTCCTTGTAAAGCAAAGGGTCACAGCTTCCGTTTTGAAAGGGCAGGATGGTCAGACCTTGTCTGTCATGAGAAGCAGGGGGAAGGGAAAAACCTGGCACGGTTTCCTCTGCATGTTTACCACAGCGTCATCCTGTACATGGGCTCGCTGCTCAGCGTAAATCACCGACTGAGCCCTCCCCAAGAGACAGGAGACGTGGGGCACAGCCTGGACACCCAGCCAGGAGGCCAGCGGTTGGGAGGGTTTCTTACCTGTGGCGTGAGCGTGCGGACAAGCAACAAGAAACTGCAAAGACAAGAAGAGGAGAATTTAAAAGCTTGGCAACACCTGCAGCCTGGGCTGCCTGCTCTTCAGCGTGAAATAAACACAAGGCAGAT